CTATAAGTGCCCCTCTCCCACCTCTCACACCATTCCCTGGAAGCAACTTCTCAATGTTGTTGTGAAGCGCTATGATGAATTTCGTGTCACCCACATGTGCAGATGTACACACGTCCTACTGATCATGAGACGCGGCAGATAGGCCACTAATCAGGAAACAATCGCAGCGAGAGTAGGTCAGAGTGACAGAAAGGAGGCTAAGCGCTCAGAGGGAGATAATTCGTCGAGATACGCCTCACTGTGCTCACCATCTGATGAACACGGAAGCAAGATAGAGAAATGAAACGAAAGTAGGAAGCCATCACCTGAATTTTTCAGTCGGGCAATGGCGAAGCAGCCACCAGAGAGTTGGTTCGGTGCGGCTCAGCAGCACCAATTTTCTGGAAAGAGAAGAGTCTGCTCGGCAACTATGATATTGACGCCCAGAAGGCTTCCTTTGTAGAAGCTAACAAGTTCTGCGAGGTTTGCTATCTTTTTCTCGGCGTCTGTGCGGACGAGAACAAAAAGCATATTTTCTTCATCGAGTTCTACTACCTTTCCAGGTGAGCGATGCCTCAACTCTTGGCAATATGCTTGTGCTCGTTCGGAATACTGGAGGCGGTCCACCTGGTTGCTCCTGCGCACAGTGCATGGTAATTCAGTGAATTTTTCATAGGCAACACCCTATTCCTCTTAAGTTTCCTCTCCGAGAAATAAGCAACAAACAGTTTCTCTCAGCTGGGGTGGGACGTGCCTGCGTACCTCTTGAATATGGCGTCGAGTGTGCTTTGGGTGGAGCATTGCCGTTATGGGACAGCTGTATCATGCTTTTGTGCAGCACAAAACAGGATGGCGGTGATCTCAGTAAGAATGACTCTACAGAAAAGGCAGCCTACGTCATGTTCAAATTAAGCACGCAGCTACAATTCCCCCCATCTCCGGGATACGGAGTGTACTTCCTTCGTAAAGCTTGTGAGCACTGTTCTGATAGTGCTAAATTCTGAGCAGTTTTCATTCTGTGAAGCAGAATACTCCTTCACTCCTTCATTTTTAGTTGGAAAACAAAGCATCTCAAAAACCGCTCATGGTAAACGATTGGGGCGATTTCATCTGTGGAGGACCCTGGCCGACAGACAAGTGAGCTCATTGGGACAAATGATCAAGAATCAGTTGTTTCGTAAAGGATAAAGGATCAAGTCTTCGCCGTTAATCAATCCCTTTGTGCGGCACGCATTCTACTTCCATTCAGAATCGTAGTGGCTTATTGAATGCGATGTGGCCTATACAATGACTTGCGGTGGCCAGCCGATGTACAAGTCAGTGTTTTATCCTCCCGAATCTGGTACCAATTTACCGTCCCCGGAGGGTAGAAGGCTTGGTTGGCCTAGGCGGGAGTCGGCCCGAGATTCGAACCCTGGATCGTGGAGTGGTGAGCGCGCCGCTTGTCACTACACCACCTCCTGCCCAGTTGTTCCATATTTTTGTGAAAACGATACGACCTGGCTCAAAGTCATGAAGGCAAATGGGCTCTGGCGGGCGCTTATGAGCAGAGCTTTCTGCAACCCTCTTTCGTTAACATGAAGTCATTAATATGGATCCCCTAGGAGAAGAAGGCTACTGCCTAGAACATAAGCTTGTCTCCGCATGTACATTTTCACTTTAAATTCACCACTTTTCAAACCAAATTCAGCCCTTTCAAACCACATTTCATAGTTCGCTTTTCAAACACTTGCCCATAATCACGCCCTTTTCCAAAACCAGTTCAGCACACACACTTTTCGGAATCATATTCACAACCTCACGTTTTTCCAATGCAAAACTACTCTTTCTAAGGGCGGGCAACTCCATCAACACCAACAGATCAAACTGCCAGACACCAACTGCGAGCCCCGCCTGCTTACTCAACGCGGACATAGATTTTCAAATCTTGTTTCATAACTTCTGCTTATGTGACTTTTCTTGTCCTTTGCTGTTTCCCACAAGCCTTATAGCTGAGCAACCGGAATCGAGCATTGACACATGGCCCGACTTCCGACCCACTTGCTGAAGGGTTTGCAAAGCATAGCCCGCACCCTTGACCACGCCGCCCACTTTGCTTTTTTATCTACATTTTGAATGATCTTTCAAAAATTTTGGCCATTTTGGACATATTACGTCAAGCGTCCGCTCCCACCGTGAGCGCTTGCGCGCACCTTTGAACGCCTCCGCCCACCTCCCCACAAACATCCGTATAGCGTCTCGACTCAGCCTCCATGCTAGCGTATTTGCGCTCCATCCATCCTCGGAAAAAACTTCTGGCGGTTGCCGTGGTTTCCTTGTTCCGAGCTGACGAACCGAGACCCTAGCATGAAAAACACGCTATATCCGCAACGAGACGAGACGCCCAAGAACCTTTATACTGCTGATTCGCAAGACAATTTCCTCGAAAGTGCGGCGGAGATTCTTCAAACTTGGGCCACGAGGAGCCTGCGCCACGTGGGACCGGCCTCTTCACGCAGCGGCTGCCCCTGAAATGCAAAAATTTTGAAACAATCATCAAAAATTCAGAAAAAAAGGCAAAAGTGGCTTGGTCGGGGGCGCGCTAACGATTGCCAATAGGGCGGCCTTCAGGGTAATGCGGCGCGGAGTGGGCCATGTGTCAATGCTCGAATTTCGTTTTTTCAATTCAAATGCTGTGGGAACACAACCAAATGGTTAAGAAAAGGGCACATAAGCAGAAGTTAAGCGAACAAGATTTGAATAATCTAATTCCGACGCCTGACAGTATCGTGCGGGGCTCGGCAGTAGTGTCCTGCGTGACCTGGTTGATGATGCTTGCGCCGCCCTCACATAAAGTTGGTTCCAATCTGATTCCCAAGTGATGGTGAAAATTTGGTTTGAAAATAGGTGAGTTTGGCTTGAAAGGGGTGAGTTTGGTTCGAAAAAGGGTAAATTTGGTTTAAAAAGTGGTGAATTTAACTTGAAATATGGTACTATATATTGGCAGGTAGGAGGTGTGTACTGTCTGATACGTGGCCACTCGCCCTACAAGCGGTCCTGGGTTCAAATCCCAGGTCGACTCCCGCCCAGGCCAACCAAGCCTTCTACCCTCCGGGGACGGTAAATTGGTACCAGATTCGTCTGGGAGGATAAAACACTGACTTGTACATCGGCTGGCCCCCGCAAGTCATTGTATAGGCCACATCGCATTCAATAAGCCACTACGATTCTGAATGGAAGTAGAATGCGTGCCGCATCCCACAAAGGGATTGATCAACGGCGAAGACTTTATCCTTTAACTATACGGCACAATCACGTTCAGGTTTCAATTCTATCCTGAACTCCGACAATGACAAATCTGGGAGAGGTTGGAAAAGAGGCACTGATTACCTACATATCGCTCAGTAGCTTCCGCTTGTAGAAATCATTAGTCGTATGCTAGGAAAATGCTACTTTCTCTACAATGGCCGTGATCCTGAAACTGGTTCATTTTGTACTGCCATTTGAAAGTTGTGGCTGTAGAAGGTCTGATCCATTTCAAGGCGTTTAAGAAAGGCATCTAGCTGTCAGTGCAAACGGGGCTGAATATCCTGTGGAGCACCATTGGTTTTTAAAGGCAATCACGATAAATCTCCGAAACGTGCAGGATTACCAAGCCTAGCAGGACAGAATTTGGCGCCCCTGAGTAGGCGCTGCGTGGCGCCTTTCTCAAGGAGGGTACGCTTATGTACCCTTTTAAAGGCTCTGTCAAGCTGCAACATACCGACGAGGACGCCCACCGGCGCCCACGCGCCCACACATGGGCGACCGATGCTAATGCTCGTATGGCTTCATTTGCTACCGCGGCGCCGTACCGGTGATTGGCAAGTTGGCAACGTCCAAAATTGCGTTCTCAGCCGTGAGGAGTCACTTACCCACTATATAGCACCCTGCTCGCATTTTGGACCAAGTACCAAATTATCGTGCCATGCCTCCAAGCAAAACTACAGAGATGTGGACAGTGTATAAACAAGAACGCAGTTTTCGGGGGGGGGGGGGGGAGGGCGAGAGTTTCAGAGAAGAGGAGGGAGATTGGTGGTCTCCGATCAAAACCGGCGGCACCTCACAGACCCGCAGCCTCCACCGCTAAACATAGATTCGTGGACAGTCTCGACACCCTCCTAAACTGTAGTTAGAAGATGTCAGGCGGCCCTGTGAAAGAGCTGGCGCACGTTTACCGCTAGAAAGAAGAACAAGTACATGATCGACTTCTTTGTAAAGAGAAAACCAATTTGAAGGAGTTCTCTTACTCAGGCCGATAATGAAAGCGCTGAATCGCCCCCTCAACACTCCACATGGCCCGCAAGAACAGTTCGTCTCACTGTGGTATCGGCATGGCAAGCCGTGCATGGGCCGAGCATGGAACAACAATGGCAAGATTGAGGCTTCGTTTGTAGAGTGCGTTTATACTTTTGTTGGCCTTGGCTATGAAACGTCGCTGTCGCTGTTACTGTGAAACTTTTGACCCATCTATGTTCAGTGACGGTCATGAATTCACTGGACATCTTGTCGGCTCCATGCAAATGCTTGTCGAGCTTCCGGCCACGGCTGCTGGCTTCGAATATTGCTGGCTGCCTTACGAACAGGTTTGACATCTACAAAGCATTCATCTACACTTCATCGTCTTCGTGAGGGAAGTATTGGAACTCGATTGTGGCATGGTTAGCAAGATCGGGCGCTTTGTGGA